GAGGAGGAGGCTCACAGGACCTGGGGATGCGGGTGGAGGCTGTGCATGGGTGTGTGGGGAGGAGGAGGAGGAGGCTCACAGGACCTGGGGATGCGAGTGGAGGCTGTGCATGGGTGTGGGGGGAGGAGGAGGCCCTGACATGACCGTAGTGCAGGCCGTGGGTTCCTCCTACATCCTTGCAGAAGAATTCAGGTAGCTTTGGGTGTGGTTTCTGTGGATTGTATGGAGTTGATGGTGGTGGTGATGTCTGGCAGTTCTGCTGTGTGGGGCCCAGGACTCCACCCTGGGCTGGCCACGGACTGCCATTGCTGGTGCTGCTAGTGTGTAAGCACACGTGTACACAACCTGTATGGGTGAGTGGGTGTGTATACAGGCTGCCCGTGTGTGTGTGGGGGGGGGGCATGTGTGCAATGGGATCAGGAGGAGTTGTTTGGGGCTAAGCTGCGTGCCCCAGAACCTTTAGGACAATGAGCTGCTTTGTATGGATAATTTAAAAAACATACGTGTATTGTGTTACAGAGAAACAGGGGCCCAGGGACGGCACGGCTGGGCTCCCCGGCCACTTTCCTTTCACGCTCAAGTGTGCTGTAAACATTTAATTGATTCCAGCGGTTTGCATGTGCTGTGCTTAATGGGCGCTTCTGTTCTTGTGCCAGCTACATGGTTACTTGGAAACAGAGCCGCTCATGCTGCAGCTGTTCATCGGGACGGCGGATGACCGGCTGCTGCGGCCCCACGCCTTCTACCAGGTGCACCGGATCACAGGCAAGACCGTCTCCACCACCAGCCACGAGGCCGTCCTCTCCAACACCAAGGTCCTGGAGATCCCGCTGCTGCCCGAGAATAACATGAGAGCCATGTAAGCCACCCGGGGCTCGGGGAGGGCGCCACCCCGGCACCCGGGGCTCCAGCCTACATAGACTTCACAATTGTTTGTGACAACAGAGTTGCTTCTTCCCAGATTCCAGGGTGCACCTTGCCACTGACAATAAGTGTCTCAATTACACGGCTGAGCACTCTGCCCCGTGCCTGCATTTAGCTCCCAGACATGACACCTGCTTCCTTCTGAATGCAGCCCTGCACATTAGAGGCATGGCTGAAGTGCAGATGTCGGACAAGCGAGGGGCGGGTCTCTGCTGGCGTTTTCACTCCAGAGTTACAGTGTTGCTCTCGGGGCCTGCTCTGGCAGGCAGAGCCCAAGCTGGCACCAGGGCTGGCTCAGAAGTGAATCTGTTAGTAAGCTGAAGGCTCCACCCACCATCGTCATCCTGCGGATTGTGAGCTGTGCAGGGCAGCCCAGGACTGAGAGGGCAGCGGGAAGCCAGCCGGCTGCTGGTTCCTGGGGGTTTGTGTCCGCAGATACTAGGCACACGTGCACAGAGTGTGCGACGCTGAAACGCACACGTGAAACGACCAGGCGGGGTGGGCGCTAACCGACGGGCGCTCCTCGCAGGGTGCTCGGGACGGTCTCTCGGAGGTGATGCTGAGCTGAGCGGTGACTGGGCAGGGGTGGGTTCATGCAGCACCCTCATGTGGGCGCTCCTCGCAGGGTGCTCGGGACGGTCTCTCGGAGGTGATGCTGAGCTGAGCGGTGGGTTCATGCAGCACCCTCATGGGGGCACTCCTCGCAGGGTGCTCGGGACGGTCTCTCGGAGGTGATGCTGAGCTGAGCGGTGACTGGGCGGGGGTGGGTCCATGCAGCAGAGGCCACCCTCGGCAGCAGAGGCCGCAGTGTGGAGCCATGGAGGGGTGCTCACGGGCGGGGTGTGCCAGGTCCACGCGGGCCTGGAGAGCATGAGCTGCCCGTGCAGAACTCCTGTGGACCTGACGCATTCTTCATAGCCTGGAAACGCTCCAAGTAGAAAGAAAAGGGAAGGCTTCCCACGAATCTGAGGGAATCTAGATACATTTGATCCAAACCCCCGGGTGCTTTGCAAGCTGCAACCAGGTCCTCCACGGATTAGAGGTGGGCTGGGAGCGGGCGACCCCTGCTGTGCCCGCGGCTGGCAGACGCGGCTCCCGACACGCAGGCCCTGTCACGTCTGCACACCTGCCCACCCCACTGGTGGCGTGAAGACGCACACCTCCACGCCCCGGCATGGATTCTCTGTTCTCATTTATCCAGAGAAGAAAGGCCGGTTCTTATTGCATGACGAATTTGTATATGCAGCATTTTACTAGGACTTAGATTTTCTTTTTCTTTCTTTCTTTTTTGTCAGTCGTGGGGCCTGAACTCTGGGCCTGGGCGCTGTCTCTCAGCTCTTCAGCTCAAGGCTAGTGCTCTACCACTTGAGCCACAGTGCCACTTCTGGCTTTTTTCTTTTTGCTTATGTGGTGCCGAGGAATCGAACCCAGGGCCTCATGCATGCAAGGCAAGCACTCTACCACTGAGTCACCTTCCCAGCCCCCCAAAAAAGAGTCTCATGGACTTTCCAGCCCAGGCTGGCTTTGAACCATGATCCTCAGATCTCAGCCTCCTGAATAGCTAGGATGACAGGTGTGAGCCACTGGTGCCAGCTTGGGACTTAGATTTGAATGAAATGATAGGAACTCTTGAGGGAAAATAAAATTGAAAACCTAAAAGAAAAGGGTTTCAAGCTGGGCACTGGTGGCCCACGCCGGTCATCCTAGCTACTCAGGAGGCTGAGATCTGAGGATCCCAATTCAAAACTAATCCGTGACACTCCCATCTCCAATTAAGCACCAGAAAACCAGAAGTGGTGCTGTGACTCAAGCGGTAGAGTGCTTGCCTTGAGCTGAAGAGCTCAGGGACAGCGCCCAAGCCCAGAGTTCAGGCCCCACAGCCAATAAAACAAAGCGGGGAGGGGCTTCATGAGAAAATGAGTGATGTTTGCAGTCAATAAGGGAAATGGTGGCCTAACCCTCAGCACTCCGAAGGCTGCAAGTCCACAGAGGAGGTGCGTCCAGTAGGCCCCTCCTCTGGGAGGCTTTGGGGCAGGGCGGGCCTGCAGCCTCTGGACGGTGTGTCCCCAGGGAAGGGGGTGACTTCCAAGCCTGTAGCTCTTGCCTTGGTGACCATGTCGATGCCAGAGGCTCCTCTGCCCTTGGGCACCTCAGGCCCTGGGGGCCTGTGAGCTGAGCCCCTCCCCCCCCAGGGACGGTGGGCGGGGCTTCCCGGCATGGGCTTGGCGGCTCCGGGTTCTCCCAGGTGGGTGCTGGAGACTGAAGCCCCTTTCTTCTGGGCAGCATCGACTGCGCCGGGATTCTGAAGCTCAGGAACTCTGACATCGAGCTGCGCAAAGGGGAGACCGACATCGGCCGGAAGAACACCAGGGTGCGGCTGGTGTTCCGCATCCACATCCCTCAGCCCAGCGGCCGCATGCTGTCCCTCCAGGTCGCCTCAAACCCCATCGAGTGCTGTGAGTAATTGTGTGGCCCTTCCGAGCACGGGGACCGGGGAGAGCCAGCATCCAGCCCTGTGCACTGTCCCCCCGCCTGAAGACTCTGCCATCGGCCGTGTGCTTCAGGGTGTGCCCTGGAAAGTGATGGGACTGGGGGGTCTGCCTGGGCCATAGCTTCCCACTTGTAGCCGGGGATGTGTAAACCTGCGTTCCTGAGCAGTGGAAGGGGCTGTCCTGAGAGCAGGGGCCCCGACGCACAGCCCTCACGTTCCCGCTGCAGCGAGCTCCCTAGCTCCCGGCGTCCGTGCCGAGGCCCGTCCCCACCTGATCATCCCCTGCAGCGGGCCAGGTCATCGGGCCACAGACACGGAGACGGGGGGGTCCCTGGCCATCTGCCACCTCCCGTCTCCCTGGGGCACGGGGCCCGTCGGGCCCTAGGTCCCGAGGATGCCGCGTGGGACAGGTGTGCCCCAGTGCCACGTCCGCATGAGCTGGACTGGCGACGGCTCCCTGCAGCCCCCACGCCTCTCCTTGCGGCCCGGGCTCCCCTCCTCTCCTGGCTTCAGCCCCTGCACATCCTTGACATAGGGACCCCTCCCCCCTCGTCCCAGGGCCCCACCCCTCTGCCACCTTCTCCCAGGTGCCCCCATCCGCCCAACCCACATGCACCAGCCTCTTGCGGGAGCCAGGATCAGGACCGGGACCTGGCACCGAGGGCCAGTGGCCTCATTCCCTCCCACTTCTGAGGGCCGTGTCCTGGCTGTGGGATGAGGAAGAGGAGTCTGTGTGCCCCACCTTGCTAGTTAGAGCAGCACGCCCTCTGTCCTGCTTGTGATTGGATAGGAGACATACCATAGATCTAAGGAACTGGTCAGCCAGAGAGCAGCCCTGGGTCCCAGTGCCCCGTCCAGCTCTGCCTGTTGCTGACAGTCCCCCCTCCCACAGCCCAGCGGTCTGCCCAGGAGCTGCCCCTGGTGGAGGGGCAGAGCACAGACAGCTATCCAGTCGTCGGCGGGAAGAAGATGGTCCTGTCCGGTCATAACTTCCTGCAAGACTCCAAGGTCATTTTTGTGGAGAAGGCTCCAGGTATGTCCTGGGGCGGGTGATGTGGGGTTCGGCTCTTGGTGGGGGGTTCCTGCCGTCTACCTACACGACCCCGCTGTGCGTGTAGCTGGCTGCCGCCCGTGACGGGTTTGTGCTGCTGGCAGGCAGGTCAGAGTCCTTTCCGCCCTCACGGTCAGCCCCGGGGAGGCCTGTGGTGGGCTCCTGAGGGGACTGGGAGAAGCTGGCTGTGTCTGGGTCCTTGGCCTGGCACTGATCGAGCTGCTGGCACTTCTGACCTTTCTCCTTTAGCCTTGCTTTGTCGGGCACTGTCCCCCCCCCACTTCCGGGAGAGCTCCCAGCCCCCGGAGAGGCATGGGGCACGGTGGGCACAGCAAGCGAAGGCCTGCTCCCTTCATGGTGCCTCCACTGTAGCTGCTGCAACAGCTGCTGCTCTGTTACTGCAACTTTCTGTGTCACGTGTGTGCGCGTGTGCGCGTGTGCATGCATGCCTGTGGGGGCGGGGAGAGGGAGACGAAGGAAAAACGGGGAGGGAGAAGAGTTGTAGGCCATGCAGAGCCAGGAGGAGCCTGTGGGGCACCGAGCCAGGGCCTTTGCTTGTTGTGTCCAGGCTGGCGGTGTCTCCGTGGCCTCTGGTGCAGGGGCGGTTCAGGGTTGGTGGAGTATCCTGAGAGTCTTGCTGGAGCCACGTCTGGGGAGGCCAGGCTTGGAGAGATGTGAGCGATCAGGACTGTGGCTGTGGGTCACTTCACTCAGGGACCAGGGCTGTGCCAGGACCCTGGGATGCCGGGGCCGTGCGGAGACCCCTCGCTCTGGGTAGAGACGTGCGCTCTGGGGCTGTGAGCAGCGTGGCAGACACCGGCTACTGCTGGGTTGTGGAGAAGCCTGTGCTCACTAACTCGTGGTTGCAAAGGAAGGTGGATTGCTGGGCCAGACCCGCTCGGGTGGCAGAAGCCAGTGCCCTGACAAAGAGTGTGGTACGTGTGGGGCTGCATGCACGTGGGAGCTGGGCTCCTGAGTGGCTCCTGAGATGGGCCCGTGCGGGTCCCCAGGACGCCCGCCGTGCCCCGGTGGGCGTGGGGGAGTTGCCAAGGCCTTTTTTCTACACTTACCAGCTAGAATATTTTTGAAGCAGCCCATCCAGTACTTACTGTAATCACCGAAAACCACGGAGGCGTGGAACCCCGCACGGCCGGGTCCCGATTCTGTGTGCTCACGGGAAACTGAAGCACTCCAATCAGCACAGCATAGAAGTCTTCCATGTTTAACTCTGCTGGCCTATGTAATCACACACGTTCTAAATCACAGAGAAAACTCAACTAAGTGTGATAAAAAGGAGAACACGCCCAGAGCACGCCTTCCCTGGAGGAGGACCTTCGGAGCCTGTGGGCCTGTCTCTGCACTGGGCGGGGCCTCGGACCCTCCCTGGGCCATTTGTGACCACAGGGGCCGGTGCCCGGCAGCTGCGTCCCAGGCTGGGTTCCTCCAGCTTCCTTGCACGCTTTCATTCCTGCTTTTGGTTTTGGGGACGGTGGAGGCTCCGGAGGTCTTGGGAACAGTGGCACAGTCGGCTCCTGTGAAGTCAGCTTTCTAGTGCTCGCAGCAGCAGGCCGCGGGAGCCCAGCACAGGCAGGGAGGTGCAGCCTCCCGCCCCCGGCACGCGGCCCCGGGTGCCTGCTGGCAGAGGGCTCGCCCGTGGCGCCCACTCTGAGTCTCTGCCCGACACTTGCTTTGCTCCTGCGTGAAACTTAGCCTGAGAGGCCACGGGCCGGGTCTGCAGCCCTGCCTGACGCCAGCACACAGCAGACACAGTAAGTGGGCAGATCACAGGCACACCCCCTGAGCAGGAGAGGGGAGCGCTACAGTAGTGCTTCCAGCCGGTGTTGGCATTTGGTTTCTAATGTTTAGGTTATGTGCGTAATACTGTACGTGCGTAGGTCTAAATTGTAGGTTTCAGAAAGAAAGGAGCGACTACCGACCGAAGTCTCTGTCTTTAAGTTTGGCTTCTCACTAAGCATGGTGCCGCCTGACACGCTCACCTGGTGACAAGCTGTGTGTCTGTGTGCGATTTCGTGGGTGTGCTGGTTCTGAGGCCTGCTTGAACTCAGGGCCTCACGCTCTTGCTTGGCTTTTTTGCTCAATGCTGGTGTTCAACTGCTTGAGCCTCGCCTCCACTTTTGGCCTTTGTTGGTTAATTAGAGGTAAGAGTCTTGTAGATTTATATACCCAGGCAGGCTTTGAACCGTGATCCTCAGATCTTAGCCTCTAAGTTGCTAGGGTTACAGGTGTGAGAGTCGAGCAGCTGGCTTTCTAGGTTTTCGTTGTTGCTGTTGGTTGGTTTGAGGAACCAGTAAACTTAAATTTAAAACAAAATTGCCCTCCTGTCTTCGAATGAGCTGTCACCTAGTCCAGTGTAGAGTTTTAAACTGCTGCTCTTGTTGAACAAGGTTACGTAGTGAGCTGAGGACATTCGCGAAGGCCGGGTGGGCAGCCTCTCCAGAGGGAGCCTCCTCCCAGGAGGCTGTGGATTGTGCTGTCAGCCGTGAGGACCCACCCGAGCCAACACAGACCCCAGCACAGACCCCACCCCAGCCCGGGCCTGCGGTCCGTGTCTCTCTAGTGAGAACGGCGCACACGCTGCTCACTGTGGCTCTGCTTCTGCCTTCCAAGTCTGACCTCCCTCGTCCTCAGGAAGGCCTTGGTGTGGGGCCTGAGGGTCCAGGGCCAGAGGAGGTGTCGGGGAGTGGGGGGGTGGGCGGTGGTCTGGGGTGCAGAGCTGAGGTGCCCCCCGCCCCTGGGGCTTGGCTGCTAGCAGGGATGCCAGCTCCCATCCTCCGATGGTGCTCCTCGGGGACGGCACACGCCGACCGCACCCCTGCCCGGCGAGGAGGAGAGCCCTGAGAACACATCCCAGAGGAAGGACGAGAGAGGAGGCACATGCGGGGAAGGGCAGCAGGGGAGGCGGGAGGGAGGACATTCACACAGGACACACAGGAGGGAGTGTGGCCTGGGCCGGCCCGGAAGGGCCCCAGTGCCAGCCCAGCCCTGATCCGCTGCCCCCTCATCCCACACCGGTCCTGCCACACGCATCCCTGTGTCTGTGTGTGTGTGTGTGTACACCAGCACCACGCCCTCCCCTCATCCCACACTGGTCTCTGCCACACGCATCCCTGTGTGTGTGTGTGTGTGTACACCAGCACCACGCCCTCCCCTCATCCCACACTGGTCCTGCCACACGCATCCCTGTGTGTGTGTGTGTGTGTACACCAGCACCACGCCCTCCCCTGGGTGAGCATTGGGCCCTGGGACACCCAGTCACAGCTGCAGTGGGAAGTAGTGCCCAATGCCCCTCTCTCAGGCCAACAAACTCGGATCCTCTCCGTGGATCTGGCCGCGCAGATGTTGTCTGTGCCCGTTCATCCGTTGACCGATATGAGCTGCTGAGCCCTGTGCGCTCCCCATGAATGAGCTGTTGTGAAGGTCACGTGTGAGGGCCGTGTCCACGCGTGTGACGCCCCCGCGCATTCCCAGTCCAGTGAACTGTCACACTGACTCTCTGTTCAGCGCTCTGGCACCACCAGGCAGTTTCCTAAGCGGCCAGCAGTGGAAGCCATGGGGGAGGACGCGACCAGGAAGAACGGGTCCAGGCGGCCTAGGGGCCGCCTCGCTCAGATGGTCCTGGAGGGGACCGGAGGCTGAGGAGCCGCAGCCCTGCGCGCCCTGGGCTGGGCCCCATCTCCAGCTCCCATGGGGAGGGAAGGCACAGGCCCCGCTCCTTGTCCTCCTGGTTGGTATGGCGGAGGGGCGGGCCGCTGGCACGGTGGGCACAGGGCTCGGTGGCTCGGCCCGCGGGCACGTGACGCCTGTGGGACTGGGTGGCGTCCTGTGGCCGGTGGGGAGCCCGCGCCGAGGAGGCCGCGGGTGTGGCAGGGAAGCCTTTCCAATGACTCATGCTGCAGGGAATTCCCTAATGATTCGGAATATTTTTACTTCTGGACTCGGGCGCAGTTTCCGACCGAGGATCCCAGAGAGCTCGATAAGACAACACAAAGGCCCTTTCAGGACGGCTCTGCCTCCCGCTGGAGGCGGGGTGGGAGCGGCTGTGCCGGCCTGCTCTGAGAGTGGGCGCTGTGTGGGGACGCCGCGGGCCCCGCTGACAGTGGCCCTGGGCCCCGTCGGGGTCCCCGGAGTGCACGCTTCTGAGCCCGCTCCACGGTTCTCCCATCTATGCCCTGGCCGAAAACAAGCACTACGAACATACTCTGACCAGAACCACCTGGCTCCTTTAACAGACCAGATGGAGCATGGTCCTTAGGAGACGGAGAACCAGCCCGGGATGGGAGGGGCACGAGAGCAGATTTCAGTGGGAAACTTGAGTGTGGCTCAAGTGAGCTCGAAGGCAGCGCACACGTGTCCTTTGGGTGCTGGGCACCGGGCGGGCTGGCCACACAGCCTGGGCGTCCCTCGCCCCCGGCTCCCTGGCAGGGAGGGGAAGTTCCTTTCTCCCGCGCATGGACTCCGGACTCTGCAGCGGCCACCCACCTCCGTGCCTCACCTGACTCTCAGCTGTGCAGGGGCCCGGCCGGTGTCCTGGGTTGGAGCTGACAGCTCAGCACCCCTCTCCCCTCCCAGTGTCCGTGCTGCCTCTCCTCCCGACAGCGAAGGCTGGCGCCCCTCCACGGGTTTCTCGGTGACACTTCAGGGATGTTGAGATCCAGGCTGTCCAGGCCACGCGAGGTGGGCTTGCCTGGCGAGCAGCCGTCTCACGGTGGCGGGGGAGGGGGGGAGGGGGTCTGCCGGTAGACGCTTCAGAAGCTGTCCTGCCTGCCCCCGCCGTGTGCCAGGACGTGTGCAGGGAGCCTGCAGCAGGCAGCCCTGGCAGACCCCTGTGGGCATCTGCACATGTGGCTGGAGTTGAAGGCTTCTTGGCCAGCCTCTCGGAGGCTCCGGGGCCGGGAGTCGCCGCAGGTGGCTTGGGTGCTGTGGGAGGGGATGAGTGTATCTTTAGGTTCCTGATGTTTTCCCAAAGGATGCTGGCCAGCTTGGCTGGGCGGCTCTCAGGGCCCGGGTGACTCACCCCGTCCACCCTCTGCCCGCCGGCACCCAGGGAGGGGATGGTGTCTCTCTTGTCAGTGATGCGCTGGGTTGTAACATACTCACACACGTGCTCTTTGCAAATGGACCGTGAGCAAACTCTCAGTGTGTATGCCTAGGACCGCTCACACTGGGAACTGACTTCATCTGGAGATGGTGGAGGCGGGGGAGGAGGTGACGGTGGCTCCCGTCAGCCTCAGGCAGGGCTCACCGGGGGACCTGGGGGCACAGGGCGCAAAGCAGCCCAGGACTGGCAGAGGAGGCCAGCTCACACCTCAGGCCCGCTAAGCACAATGCGTTCTTTCATTGTGTTTCCGGAAGCCTTTTTCTTATTTTTAAGCATGTAAACAGTCACCAGGCTCAGGTTAAAAATGCCCTGTGCTTTGCATTTCTGAATCCCAGTGGCAAGAAGTCATCAAAGGAAGTTTTTCCTGTTTTCCCAGTAGTCCTTCAGGGCAGGGGTGGCCTCACTCTGATTTCTCGTCTCCGTACATGTGGGAGGCTGGGATGGAGGCCGCACAGCGGGCTGCAGCCCCGGTAGTGAGCGGGCTTCCTGGCCTCTGAGTCACCCTGGATTGCGGTCCCTGGGAGAACATGGAGGCTGAGGCCCTGTCCAGACCAGTGCGGGGCCAGGGGCACGTGTGCAGGGCCAGGGGCACGTGTGTGATGGAGCTCGGGTGCTGAGGCCCTGTCCATTTTGTGGTGACTGCCACAGATGTGCGTTCTGTGTGACCTTCCCGCTGGACAGGTTGGAAAGAGCCATGGGCTCGGCGTCTTTGGGCTGCCATGGGTCAGGCCAGCGTGAGTGGTGTCTGTGAGGACAGGCAGACCATGGGCCCAGCCTTCAACCTGACAGTGCCCACCGCGCAGTAGCCTCCCGCAGTCCCTCCTGAGCCTGTGTGTCCTGGTCATCCCACCCCACGTCCCCCCCTGAGCCCAGAGCCTGTGCACAGGGTCATCCCACCCCACGTCCCCCTGAGCCTGTGCACAGGGTCATCCCTCCCCACGTCCCCCCCTGAGCCCTGAGCCTGTGCACAGG